GTCGAAAGCCTATAGGTCGGGAAACTATTCTACTAATCGCGATGTCTCAATTAATTAGAAATCTTTATTGTCAAGGGAGGATAAAATCGAGGACAAGATCGATTTTATCAAGCACCGATCAAGAAAGCGTTTTCAAGCTTTATCGGCGCTCCACAATATAGATCAGAGAATACTATTTATAAATATAATATGTTTATTTGATTTACTATGTTATAACAATTCTTAGATTCAAGATCGAATCTATTCAACCGAAGTCACCGTTTGCTAAGGAAATTACGACTGCTTATACTGTATATCTATTTCGAGTTCTGCGCCTACTGCGCTGTTCTATACTATAAAACTAATAAATACATGAGGATTAAATTAAAAGAAACAAATCCGTCCGCATCAGGTGAAATCTGTTTCGTTTTCATCTGTCAACCCGATATATCGAAATCTGTTTTCGTTATTTGGTCCTACAAATATTGAGCTGCGGCTGGAAATGTTGGTGTAACTCGTCGGAAATACGTCGTGTTTATCGTAAATCTTGACATTATTTATTTGACATTTTGTATTTAATTGAGATTCTTTGAGACTAAGCAAATTTGAATATTTTAATTTATGAAGTCATTTAAATCATTAACATTAATAGTAGTTTCCAATCCTATTTTTATTCAAGTCTCTTTTACATGCTCACACAATATTTCTTCTGCATACTCATTACTTATACTGTTGTCAAAATATTATGGACTGAGATTAAAAAAGAAAAAATGCAAATTTTCCTGTGCATGTGAGCAATTAGAATTTTTAGGACGTTTGGAAAAGAAGGAATAGCAGGTGATTGTAATGTGTAAGCAATAATACCATCCTACCAATGTGAAGGAAATCTGATCATTACTGAGTATGGATGGATTCTATCAACAGTTCATTCAAGATTAGACATGTATCTGAATACAAGGTCCTGTGATTCATGTCAATGAGACACAAAGCTTATAAACATAAGAATCTGTTAAATCCAATACTCGATAAGATAAAGTCAATGGGCTGGTAATAGTAATGGTTTAAGCTACAGAAGTTTTATTTTATCGAGGATTATATGGTATACTATTGAAAATTTTTCACATATTTCTTCTTTTGTAGTCCCGTTAAAGTCTCGTAATTTTTACTGCCAGATAATGATTTAGATATATATTCTTGCGTTTATTATTATTCTTAATAGAAGGACCAGTAGTGGTATTCATGGCTTTCGAATCAAGAATTAAGATTGTTTGGTACACATGCAAACTCGATAAGTCGGTCTCTCGATGATTCAATTCCGGTCTAAGAAGACCAAAACTTCCCTCTTTTCTCAATTTTAATATTTAAAATCTCTCGATAAGTCAGTTCGGCCCGCCACGCATGACCGCCTTATCGAGTTTGCATGTGTAACACTTATTCTTTAAATGGCAAATTATTTGAGATCTTTAACTAATCGAGGTATCTTTATCTTACAGTTTTATCGAGGTCTATAATAAAATTTATATTATGGAGGTATTTTTTAATACAAAAAATTCAGAGGGATTTTATCTTAGATTGACTTTATTTAATCGATGGCAGCCCGCATCAAATTATCATTGATCAAAGTACAGCATTCACTAGTGACTAAGTGGTAAATCAAACACGTCACCACTTTCGCTCAAGCGAGTGGTCAAGTCGAAGGATAAATCAAAATCGTTAAAAACGTTTGGTCAAAGAAAGAGTTATTCTACAATTGATACTTATGGATTATCGAGTATCCACGCAAGAAACAACAGAATATTCGCCGTCCCAACTATTGTTTGGAAGGCAAATGCGCTTGCACTCAGTAGAGTAGGCCAATACAATACGTACGATTTAGAAACATTGGGAGGAAAATTCTACCTAATAGCAACAGGAACGCTTACAAAGATCGAAGTAGTAATGTCCGTATAGAAGGAAGTGACAAATTGAAGAACTTCAATTTTTTAAATTTAGTATTAGCAGAATTAGCCGACGTAACCATATTTAGTAATTATCCGATCTATTGTTATTGAATTATTTATTGACTGAATAATTCCATTCATTGTTGCTTGTTGTAGTTGCTCTGGAAAATTCCGCAATATTATTGGTTCGCATTTAGCTAATTACAGTATTACTATTCCAGATTGTCAATGCGAGTTAGATATGTCGCATTTAACAGAAGACGACAGCACAATCGAGAGAAAGTATGTGAAGGAGAAGAAAATTGGTGAGGGTACTTATGCTGTAGTATATCAAGGTGAGCATTAACATAGTGTATCGTTCAGTTACCAATAGAATATAAAACATAATGATATCGCGAAATTATAGGAAAAGAAGCGGCTACTGGCAGAAAAGTCGCAATAAAGAAAATCAAACTCGGTCAATCACAAGCGGGCGTTAATGGAATAGAATTATCCGCTATTAGAGAAGTAAAAAGCTTACAAGAACTACAACATCCGAACATAATTGAAGTCCGTTGCTTTGATCCGTTTGCATATAGTTTAATCATGTTCACTTTCGCCAACTTATTTCTCAACTGCTTCATTCCTACTTCCAACAGCTAATAGACATATTTTCACACAAGACAAACCTCAACCTTGTATTGGAGTATTTAGACTCCGATCTCGAAATGATTATCAAGGATAAGAACATTGTGTTCATGTCGTCCGATATAAAAAGCTGGATGTTAATGACTTTGAGAGGATTAGATCATTGTCACAAAAACTGGATTTTACATCGAGTAAGAGGAAGAAGGAGAGTGTGCGTGCATTTGTGAAAGTGATTTAGGCGATGAGATGAGTGTAGTGAATTGGTTTTGTCTTTTGCTTAATGCTGAAAACCAGGATATGAAACCGAATAACTTGTTGGTGGGAAAGGATGGACAATTAAAGCTTGCTGATTTTGGACTTGCGAGAGATTTCGGGGATCCAATGGCTAAAAACATGTCTACTCAAGTGGTTACGCGGTAAAAGAAACTTGTAAAGAGAAATATTTTGTTCTAAGTGTGCTTTTGTTGATAATAACGATCTCAAGTATTTTTCTCCTATTTAACCCTTTGCTATTTTATTTTTTGTCTTTATTTTTACCCTTCGGCTCTACGCATCATTATAAATCGCCAAATACTCTGTAACCATTATTGCACCAATTCAATTCTTGTAGATGGTATCGCGCTCCGGAACTTCTTTTTGGCGCCAAGCAGTATGGCTATGCGGTTGATATGTGGTCGGTCGGTTGCATATTTGCTGAACTGATGTTACGAGTACCTTATCTGCCCGGTGAAACAGACATTGAGCAATTGGATTTGATGTTTCGGGCCCTAGGAACGCCTACGGAAGAAGATTGGCCGGTAAGAGTGTGTTAGGCGAAGTGTAAGGAGGGTATGGAATAGAATGTAGAAGGGAAACAATCTGAAGGCGTTAGGTTCGTGGTCGGAATAGTATAGCATAAACTTCCATGGCCATTGTTTGTAACGATGATTCTGAATATTTTAATAGGGTTTCAATGAATTGACACAGATGAAGTTTCAAAAGTATCCCAAGACACCGTTGAAAGCTTTGTTTACTGCTGCCGGAAATGACACTTTGGATTTATTGGAAAAGATGCTCAATTATGATCCGAATAAGAGATTGACAACGCGCGAGGTGAACTTTCATATTTCCTGTATGCATGACTCACTCCACTCTCCCCTCTCTCCTATTGACAAATTTCGATAATTCGTTTCGCTGTTACACACCTTTATATTTCATATTTAGGCTCTCAACCATCCATATTTTCGAAATAAACCTCGCCCAACACCTCCGGGAAAGCTTCCAAAACAAGAAAAGTCTAACCACCTCAACGAACCCGTATCGCCATCTTCGTCATCCGCATCGCCATACTAAATGTATTGCTACATAGACTGCTGGTTCTTTTGGGGCATCTTGGGGATACTTTGCCCCTTATGGATAATTTATATAGAGGTAAAGAGCAATTTTTTAGTGATAGTACCACCATGAAAAGTAATATAATAAGATACACTTAGTGCATACCCATCTGCTGGGGATTCGTATTCTTTATTAGCTCACAACTTGTTAGACTATAATTAAGGAATGCCGTAAAGAAACTAAAAGTAGCATTGGTAATGTTATTCTTGTGTTGGTGGGTGGAAAAGATTTGTTGCAGACCAAGTGTTTTCAGCCACTGCTGTTCTGTATGGATTTTAATACTAATACCGCAACAACCAATTAATTGTGAAATAATTTTATTATTGACTTTCCCCGTCAAAGGTGATCCAGGATATTTGCTAAAACTGAACTTTGTGAGACTCATCTAGTCTATAGTCACAGTCAGGAGGTTACGGCATGCTCGGGGTATGAGAATCGGGTCTTTTGGTTAATAGCCATTTCTGCAACATTGATCATTACAACTCTCTAACAATGATCGTACAGAAAATTTAATACTTTCGAAAAAGCATATATGTACTAGTCTTTGGCTTACACCTCGGAGGTAGTATTAGGGTCTGAATTGATTAAAGGTCAGTAAAGTATCTGGTACATCCCGATCTATTGGCAAATCTTAAACTTTTCTTTGCTGAATAAAGGCAATTTATTCAAGAATGCAAATTGCTTCCGACTTCTTGATCAACTCTGTGATGAAGATAACGTTAAAAACAGTGACAGAGCCGCTGGTATATTACCAGTAATTCAGCTAGTTACGCCAATTTATTATAATAACATCCTTTCCGTTTACACGTCATCCCAAACCTCTCTCTAGCTGGATCTCATAATATACCAAGGCAGATCTTACTTGCCTCTCACATCACTGACAACTGCATACATATTCTCTTCATTGAGATTATCGTCGATACTGCCCATTTCATCACTCTTTGCTAAATATAGATTTAACCGATTATCTCATGGTGACAAAGCGTCGTTATGCGAAAGCGGAATCGAATGTCAGGAATTTTCCACATTTCTTAGTACTTGTTAAAAACACGGTCCTCCGTGTGAAAGCGCCTATCAAATTTATATACAGGCATTGCGATGTTTTCGGTGGCTTAACAATCGAAGCTTGTCTTTTTTATCTAGAATTTTCTTAAGGGATTCCATGTCCCTCTTCAAGTATTTTTGAAAAGTGTGTTCATTTTCATAATTATTAAAGAACTGTATAATCTCATTTTCGCAAGCCGGTTCATTTAAGCCAATAACCACTAGGAGTCGTATTAATCGGTGGACCATTGTCAGAACAATCTGCTGGTCAAGGTCAACAGACTTCTCATTCTTACAATTGATCAGGATGCAAACAAGACGTTGTGTTTTCCCGAAAAAATCCTTGATTAATCTATGATGACGTTCTACGTCGCGTTTATAGTCTTCTTGACTTGCGTCGTCGCGTTTATAGTCTTCTTGACTTGTGTCGTCGCGTTTATAGTCTTCTTGACTTGTGTCGTCGCGTTTATAGTCTTGACTTGGAAACAGTGGATATCGATAAAAGAAGCTTCTATTGAATTTAGGGTAATAATTCTTCAAATAACTTCGAGTGAGGTAAAAATCGCGACGTTCAGGATTCGCCGGAAATGCCAAAGATGTCGCGCATTCCATGAAAGACACCAGATCACCAATAGCTTGATCCGCAAGCAAGTTTACTTCATTAATAAATTGTAAAGCGTATGTAATAAACTTTTGCGCGTGTTTTATTGCGATGATCCTTTCGCCAGAGCTGAGATGTATGATAAATTTCGATAGTCGCTCTCCAACCGCAACTGTTTTATCACGAGTTTTATTATCAACCGCAACTGCTTTATTATCATCCTCAACAGCTTTATTATCATCCGCAACTGCTTTATTATCAACCGCAACTGCTTTATTATCATCCGTAACTGTTTTATTATCATCCGCAACTGCTTTGATACGTATACGTTCAAAACCGGTCGGTAGATCTTCAGAATTAGGCGGCGACTCTTCGGTATCAGACAGCATATCTTCGGTATCAAAAAACCAATCTTCGACATCAGACGACGAATTTTCGGTATCATGCGGCGAATCTTCGATATTAGGCTGTTCATTTTTAGTATTAGGCGGCGACGCTTCGGTACTAGGTGGATGCCGGAGCGCCGATATCTTGTTACAAAACTTATCAATGATCTTTTTATTCTGCAATTGCAGAGAAACAAACAGACATTTTAACATGTCCGCAAAGTCCTGAGCTCGCAAATCATCTCCCAACCATTGCTCGCGAGCATGTTCACTGATCCCATCACGTATGTCAGAACAACCGTTAATATAATCATAAATAAGTTCCGGAAAACTAGGCTTTGCTGGTTGATAACGAATATGGCATTTAACCAAATTTTCAGTCCAAAACCTTTGTAGGAAATACGCGTCTTGTGTCTGCTCTTCCTTAAGACGATGTTTACGCATCAATCCTAATACATCTAGCTGTCGTATCACAGTATAGTGGAGACATGCAAGTGACAAACGCCGACGCAGATTTTCTCGTGTTGGCTCCATATGATGTCGTTGGCAATTTCTGTCATTACAAGGCCACTGGTAGCAGATATAAGAAGATATATCAGGAATGCTTTTATATTTTTCACTCGCTTCCCATATAAACTCATACATATGAGAAGAAAACAATCGTTCGATTGTCCGGCGTACAACATGTTCGTCGTAGACATTCCAATCGCCAGCGAAATCTATTACATTGCCTTCGTCTATTACATTGTATTCGTCTATTCTTTTAATAAGTGAGCTGTGTAAAAGAACACGACGCTTATTCCGACAGTTCTCCGTCTCACTTACAGAAAAAACCTTCTCAAAATCCTTGCGGGCTTTTTTTTCCTCGTCGCTAACGTCACTTTTATGTGAATGCATAAAAGGGTAGGCTAGTTTTGACAGCCTTAACAAATGATTTAATCTTTTGCGCCAGTATTCTGGTTGATTGTCAGATTTTGTGATTTTTAGCCATAATAATATTGCCAGGCATTCGATAACATGCTCTTCGCGCACGTGAAAGAATTGTGCACGCTCTTGAACACTATTAAGGTCTTCGTTTACATAATCCGAGTATAACTGCGTTTCTTCTACCATCATATCCCATTGTGTAGAATTTTCCAACAATTGTGATCCAAGTTTTGTGACTTCAGCCGCCTTGTTAAGGAGATGACGAAGCTCCGTTGAGCTTGTGGTACCCATGATTATCCCGTTCAATACATAGATTCTGCACAACTCCAGAAGACATTGTAGTGCTCCCACAACGTTCTCTTCATGATCGGCTGAGCGGGCGAACATGCTAGCTGCCTCTTCAAATCTACCAAGAGAGCGTAAAAAATTTGCTGCGTTGTAAACTCGACCATTCTCTACATAAAGTTTCACGAACTCAGAAACCATCTTGTCTCGCATTTTCTTATTGTTAGTCCAGCGGTAGTAAATATATGCAATACGTATAATACGAGAAAAGCTTGCCGTGTCGATTTCTTGCTTATACCTTGCGTTAGCGTTTACGATGTATCAGCATTTATTTCTGACAATAAAAACACATAATCTTATGAACTTACCTTTGCATCAAATCAATTACTATGTCACAATAACCGCCGTTTGTATAAGCCTCCGCGGCTTTAGTATATTTCTTTGCTCTTTCATAATATTCTCCCGCTGTATGCCAGATTTTTGCGTCAAAAAAGCAGCGTGCAGCGTCTTCAAACTTGTCGCATTCTGCATAAATTTTACCAGCAGCTTCATACATCATGATAGTCTGGGCGTTTGCAGTTATATCAGGTTAGCCATGTAGGCGGGTAATATCTCAAACGGCCATGTTTATCATCAACCAAATATAAGACACTAATATTTACCTCATAGCATAAAGCTTCTTGAATAGGCCGGAAACATTTTTTGAACGCCGCTGCAGCAACAATGAAATTTTGTTTAACAGTAGCAATATCAGAACTGTTTACGGACGACTTGGCGATCTGCTGAAGACGATATGCATTGGCCAAGTCATATCTAATATTATCTTTGCCTTTGCTAAAGCAGAAAACAGCCTAAATAACGTAAGTCGACATAATTAGCTCGGTTCATTGCAAAACAATGGATACTCTGAAACGATTTTCACCAGGTCGTATTTTTGTTTTTCGAAAAAGGCTTTTCCTTGTTCGTTCCACTCATCTTTGGTGCTCTTCTTCGCCAGGGCGGACATAGTACCAATTTCATCAAGGCTTTGAATTACTTTGACGAGGTTACGATTCTCCCAATACCTCTGGACTGGTCGCACCCGTTCAGCATCTTCATCGAGTATCCATATGTGCTGTCGAGCTCTGGTTATGGCAACGTAAAGATTTTTGAGCTCATGCGAAAGGATATAATGCTTCTCATGTGAGAAACTTCGAATTCTCTTAGAATTGCCTTCCAAAACAGGAGGAATAATGCGCCACTGTAATAGATTGATATTTTTACAAATACGATCCAAATAAATTCAATAAGATGATGTAAAAAACAAACAATTTACCTTGGAGCCTGCGGGTGAATCAGTGAAGAAATTAAATAAAAGCACATCATCAAATTCCATGCCTTTTGTTTCAAATACTGTCATTACCAATCCTGCATCGCGAATTTGTTCTTTCACATATAATTTGGTTGCATCGTTGCGCACAATAATGACTTGTTGAGCACCAAATTCGATATTGCTCGTACTCTCGTTTGTGGACAAGTCATAGAAATAAGCTTTCATCTGAAAGTCGCTGAAGGCTATGGGGCGCGGACCACCAACCTCGCTAGTCTCAGGTTTTAAACTATCAATACAATCGGGGAAAAAGTGGTGTATAATATCAACAATCGATGCTGCAAGTTGAAGTATTCCATTGTGGGAACGATAATTGACATTCAGTTCAAACTGTGTTGGTTTTTTGACACCATACAACTTGTATTTTTCAGAACGTTCACATTCCCATTTGTACATCAAGGAACGCATGTCTGCATTAAAAAGATTGACAAATTCAGACGATAAGACATTCTCGCAATGTTAAATACAGACTGTAGATCTTTCAATTTTCTGCGCGTACCCTGAAATCGGAATGAAGATCCTGCGGCAATACATTGCGCTATATCTCCAGCCAAAAAAATGCTGTCGACACGGTCGAAGATTTCTAAAATAAGCGCAAAATCTAAAATATTATTGTCTTGACATTCATCAATGTACACTTCATGAATGTGTGGGCCGCCAAGTGCTGCCTTTTTGGCACAACGCAAGATAGCCAATGTCCTACGGAAGATGGATTGAAAATTTGTGAGATTCTTATCCTAGAAATGGTATTTCTTTTTGCTAGCTCTTACAGTTATCTGAGCCTTACCGATCTATTGAGTCATGATCACCATTGCGCGCTTTCTTCTTTTCGTATTGCAGAAACAAATCATAAACCTGATCACGGTTATGACGGAATGCTGGGTATTTTTTAGTGCTAATAGTTTGATACACCTCCCTTGATAAATGATCCACATCTGGATTCGTGCCCTGGAGAAGACTAAATGTAAACACAGCGTTCGAAGAACCGATTTTTTTATATACGGTTACAGACCTTGATGACAGCAAACTCGGAGTAAACTAGTCCGCAGTCCAAGTTTCGTTTACTGTCATGATCAAAATGATCCCAATATCTTTCCCGGAAGAGATTATAGTTTACGAAATGTTCCTTCTTGATGAAAGACGACCTTCGTCGAGGTCCTTTCACGTCACCTTCATCACCTGCATCCAACTCTGCTCTGACTGTCAGCTTCTGCAAATTTATTCCGTATGTTCCTTGAAGCATTCGCATAAATTTCTCAATAGTTATGAATAGAGGGAAATGAGCTTCTGTCAATTGACGGAATGAGTCTGGAATGTTATTAAACTCATCCCCCTCTTCAAGCATTACATCATTGGCCACGTTAGCATTGATGACAGTTCCTCTCCTCCTTATATATTCATTAAACTGAGCTTTGGACATTCTTTCTCCAGCATGCTCTACCGCTTCCTTCAATCGATTAAAATAGTCTTTCACTCGGACACATAAGTAGTAATTTGCTGTAATAAATATCTGCCTTTTCTGCAAATACTCATTATCGTGATGAGCGCTATCAAGTTCGCGTGCGATTAATCGAAATACAATACAAGTCGTTTTCCCAGTGCCTAGACATCAGTTATACAGGTAAAAAAATCAGGTTTCCCAAGTTGGTTAGGTAAACGAAAAATTTCTAACCTGATCGACCAATAATGATTGCCGATTTAGGATGATTGATGATTTCGTGTTCAATCTTGGATACTTGGAAGGTAAAACCAGAATGGCCTCTGGCGAGTGCTTTCATCAAACTCTGCAAGACAGACTAGTGCATTAAACATGTGTTCTCGTTTAATATTATAAAATATAATAGTATGCATACTCTACCGTTGATAAAGGAACGAATTTATTTGTAACGAGGGCCTTATGTACTTCTAACATTCTTTCGTCATCTTCCTGGAGTACATCCAATCTGCTCTGGGTAGATTTTATCGCTTCCTCTCCTTCAAACACTTTCGGTAAAGTAACACCATCTTGGCTTACTTCGACTGCGCATCGATTTATATG